ATATCGATAAGGATAAAAAACAAAAGGTGATTATTCGAAATGAAAGATTCAATGTGTTGCAAGCTCTATTATTATCCCCATGAATTTTTCAGTTTAAAAAAAGAAGGAGGAAAACGAGTGGACGTTACTTTAAGATATTGTGGAAGCAATGATCCAGTTAATATCGTGGATAAGGATTTTTCATGAGTTTCCGCAATAGTTGGCAATAAAAGTCCTTTCATATATCATAGTAGCACCAAGTACTAATGTATAGTGTATATCACAGAGGATGAATGAGGTGGGGGGTGGCAAAAAGTGCTAGCTGATTCATGGGCAATATGGGATATAAACCCGAGGTAAGAAAAGCACGTATCCCACCCATGGAATTCCAACTCCATGGACAAGAAATGAAGGATTATATCTTTCAAAACGCAAAAAAATTAAATCAATCTTCTGTCCAATAAATTCCATAATACTGAAAATGATGGAAGCGAGGAGAATACCAAATAATGAGGCGAGTAATTTCCCAGTAACTCGAGAAATAAGAACCCTCTATTTCCGTTCCTTGGATTTGCGTTGAGTTTATGCTTCGGTTTATTCAAAATAAAATAGAGCTGATAAAATGCAAGTTCGACAATCCACGAGGGGCATTGTTATCCAGGAAAGGCACATTTTCACGGGAACTACAATAAATCCATTTATTTATTTTTTTTTTTTCATCGACAGAAGTAAATTTAATGGAAATTGTCAAGGGCATTGTTATCGAGCTTCGAGTCTAACGGACAAACCATTCGAGACAATTTTTTCTTTTGTTCTTCAGGTATTATCGAGTTGATAGTGAGCCAAAAATACGGGGTAAGGATTATTCTCCCGTTTGCAGGAGATAACAATCGCAATTTCAGAAGGTGAACGAGGAAAATTGCTGGGACATTCTATCGTTTACATAGGTAACTGCTTAAACTCCTCTGATCCCGTTGAATCATAAGGTATGTACATTGTAATAATTGGGAGCTAAAAACTTGAGTTAATATTTTCTTTGTCGTATTTTATTTCAAACCCTAGATGGATTATTATCATGGGAGATAGTAACTCTTTCACGTTCAATTATTTGACGTGCCATAACTGGATCATGAAATTGTATTTCATAGAGGTAATGAGAACTGGTGAATTATTATTTTTCAATTACTCTCATCCGTCTATCTCAATTCATTATGAAAATCGTATTCTGCTATAATCGCTGATGAAAATTCCCTGTGAAATATTATTCATCAAGTGTAACAACGAGTAAAATGTTAATTAAAGCCGATAATTTTGTAATTAGAGGGCCTTTGACACGGCTAATTATTCCCGAAAATGGAACTTCCCAACAGAGAGCATTTGCTACCAATCATTCCAAACTTCCGTAACACGTGGATTATATTACACAGTATTTTCGCATACAATTAACCGACAATTCACCTATAGTGCGACGAAATATAATCTTCAAATTGGAGGATAACTTTTCTCGTGGTAATTCGATTCAAACATCAAGAGGATACCAACGAAAATGGGAAAACTTGTTCAGTCACATATTTACTACTTTCGTGACAGGTTGATTTTTTTTTCCTCATTTTTTTTATGAACCAACTCCCTCGAGACCAACTCGTAATTTCACATGAGTGTTATCTCTCCTCAGAGTTATCCTTCGCATTTCGCAGGGACCCTCTCATTTTTTCCTCCTTTCGTTACCGCGCACTCTTTTTTATCATCATCATTACGCTTCTTCATTCTCAAGTGATGACATATATATCATGGTTACACCAGAGTATTTCCAACATTCACACACATCGCGTGTTGACGAACATGCGCGCAGATGAGTCTACGAAAGCATGGTCGGTATTAAACTTCAGTTGCGCTCCGTCAACCGACGAGTCGTCATCGTCGGAAATTATCACGATCTCATCATCAAATCGAGATGACATATCATCTACCGACACTATGAAGAATCAAAGAAAGAAAATATAGCATTCTCCCATTACCCATACGTTTTTACAAAAAAAAAAAAGCTAATTGCACAGATAAAACGAATTTTTTCGTTCCAGCTACTGTTTAGCGCACATTGCTTAGATTAAAGATTGATTGAGGGCGAAATGAAAATAATTGTAAGATACCGGATAACTAGTGGTCCACTGACGTTAACGACATCGTAAAAAAACAAACGAGTGGAAAATATTCTTGACGTATATTGCGGTAAGTTTATAACGATATTTTATATGCTGTCGTAAATTTGGTCTACTTGTGATATGCGGTGAGAGGAGTGAGAGAAATAGAGAAATGTCGGGCCTATGCGATGGGGTAGAAAAATGCAATGTATATAAACAAAGGGTAAATCTGCACTGCGATCACGTTTTTCGTGCAACTGTCAACAACTCGACTTCGTTATTCGATATCTCGGGGGACGCATTTTCCAACTCCAACGGAAATAGCCTCGAACGCTTCGTGACTCCGGAAACTACGGTTGCCCTCCACCTCTTTGCCGTCCCCCTTTGAGATTTATTTTACCAAATGTGCAGAAAAAAACACCGCATAGATATTTTTTTTTTTGTTATTCAACTTTAGAAATGGCGCTTGAAACAGGGCGCACTCCAGGATCGGCGAAACTTTTTCAATTTGACATGATGTGTATTTTCTGAATTCAGATATTCGTTACGTGCAGTGGAACAAGAAAATATCACCTCAACTTTTATTCTCCGGAGGAGAGAGATAGCGAAGAAAAAAAATCAATTTCGTTTGCCGGATCATAATTCATTCCGACGGACTGACAAAGTTTAATTAGTCCATCAGGGTTAAAGGAAATTCATTTAAAATGTATTAACATAGCTGTGTGGAATGTTCCCGATATTTTATTCAAGGCTGGAAAATTCTAGGTATTGAATGCACTCTGGTGGAATGAATTATCCATATGGAAAATTTCATTCTCTCTATTGTTAAGATGTAGGTGGAAAATTCCTTGAGGGATTTTCCAGGAATAGTAAACCACAGCTCAGCGAAAAATCGAGATTTGCAGTTGAAATTTCGGTGAATGGAGTTGTGACTGGGAAATTTATCTGTCTCTCATGCTGTCGTTTATGTTTTGCGTGTTGGATTTATTTGCGGGATAAATCGTAGGATGACGGTGCGTTTCTCTCACGATGCAGTGTTGGAAATTTGTTTAATTCTCAGGGAAAATTGCAACTGAATGAATGAAATCCCAACTTCGTGGGGTTTTATTCAAGTTACAATTGCTTTCATGAATATTTACGTTCATCTTGAAAATTCAGAAAACGGGTTTTTTATAGTGTACTGTTGGAAAGTTATACTTTAATTTTAAAAAAATGTGAAATCTTGAAAAATTCTTTGCTGATGAATCATTTAATTTCTTGAATATTCGCGCTATTCCCCATTTTTAGGTGCATATATCGCACTAAAAACCCCTATAAATCTTGAAAATTTAAACTATATAACAACTTTTATGAGTCGAAATATCAAGAATAACTGTCAAAAATAATTACAACTGAGTTATCCTTGTTATGGAGTTTAATTTAATTCTAAATTACATCCTTCATGAAAGTCCCGATTCATCTGGAAAATTCACGAGTTAAATTTAATTGAATCCGCAATGGCTTGAGAATTCCAGAAAATAATCACCTGAACTTCCACATTTCTCCAAAATTTTAAACCTGAAATATAGAACACCATTGAATATTCAACGAAATTTCATGATTAATCCTCGAAAAATTTTCGAAAGAACGATGATAAATTTCACATCATCTTCCATTAAAATATCAAACTTTTGCGGTTGTCAGTAAAAAGGTAATTTTTCCACAGCATATCCACTAGGAAACTAAATGGAAATTCTCCGTTTTACTAGGAATCCGAGATATTTCACCGGAATTACTCGTCCTTTTCTATATCAACACCTCCTATTCAACTGTCTCCGCGTTCTCCTCGACATCTTCATAATGCCAGTTCCAGGACTAATCAGATCCGATCTCGAGGGAGTCATACACGAGGCCCCGAGCACTAACAATGTAATAATCTTCATTGATCCCACCTAATTGAATACTGCATTATGGAAATAGTACACTATTCCATATAAGCTGTGAATTTCACCCCTTCCTCGATAAATTCTAGATATATGCATTCCCAGAGAAAGTTCTCAAAGAAAGTTGCCTAATTTTCTAGAAAGACGTGAACGTCATAAATAATTTTAATGAGATATTCACGTGTGCATTATGTAGTTTAATTAAAGAATGCAAATTCATTTCCCCGTACGATATTGAACAGACATTTTTAATCAATCAGACATGAAATTTATAGTTTAACAGTGTAACTTCCCGATGGATCCTTCATTCCACCATCCTGCTCATTATCGACCTGATTAATTTCCTAATCAGCGCACACAATTTCCTGTTAATTAGGGAACTAGCTGCTCTGCGGTGTTTGAGATTCAACGTAAACCGACGTAAACCAAATTGTGGAAAGCCGAATTACCGATCGTTTTATCGCTCTTTTGGACAGTGAAGTCATGATGTGAGCGGTGATAACTAAACTGACCAGCATTTAGGCATCAAAAGCTCTTTAATAAGGCCGAAAAGATAATCACTTAATTCAACCTGAGGAAAGACTGAGAAAAAATTCCCATCAACTATTTATTATTTATTATTATTCGTCATTTAATCTTTTTTCTTGCGATTCAAGTTCGAAATTATTCGAGTCAATAGTGTTCGGTCTTTGTGAAAGTATGCGCAGGATTGGTTCAAGTGGATAATCAATTGAGAATAGAATTTTTTTTAAAAGAAATGAACGTTTAGGGCCATGAATTGGCAATTTCGTGAAAAGATTGATTGGAGAATCAGATTGGGTGTTAACGAACAACAAGTTCATCACAAATTTCAATCCAATCCCCTTCAATCGATGCTTTTTCTCTCGGTGTAATCTCTTTATTTATATTAACCGAATTAAACAGATGTAAAAGTTGGCCGCAAGATCATTACGATCTGCAACGTAATAGTTGATATTTCTCGAAATCATAATTGACAAATCATAATTATCAAAGCCGAAATTCATGGTGAAAAATTTTTATTTTCATCTTCCGTATTACATTGCGAAAGTTCCAATCGTGTTATAATTTCGATGAAATTCCACCTAATCTTGTCCTTAAAAATTTAGAATTTCTTGGGAAAATCAACCTGACTTATCAATTCCCGTCTTACGATTCCCTGAAAATGAATTGAAAACGGAAAATAATTTTCCAAAAAAATTGTATAGCGAATTGCGATAATGCGGGAGTAATTTTGAGATAGTTTCCAAATAATAGTGATGGATAAAATCTGAAAGACAAGTTTATATGTAATTACTTAGAAAGTGAAGCAACCTCGTCAATATCAAATCAAGCCATTGCAAGCAATCTTGTTGGAGTGTAACTTCCATCAATTCGGAAAATAGAATAAAGACAACAACGTGAATGAAACGAACGTGAGTACCTCGATATTGACAGTTGGAGGACGTATAAAAGATGACGTAAAGTTTACAGAGCCATGGCTAATACTTCATTTCCAAGGTTTACTCCTTTCGTGAATGATTCTTTTACAGAACTGCCAATAAATTTTTATTAGAGACTATTCAATGTTTCATTTCGTACGATAGCTCATGGAACATTACGCACACGAACGTCAAACAATGAAATAGAAGAATCTAAAAGGAGAAGTATTTCCGTTGAATTTATCCGGGAATGAATAAATGAGAAATGGAGTTCAGAGAGAGAATGTAATTTGCGACTTCAAGTGCATCTGGTATACCTCGACATCTCTTCACTCACTAGTTGGTATATGGAGAATGGGGCAGGCCGTTATCAGCAGGAAAATTATTTGAGTCTGACTCGTGTTGATGATGCAGAATGCTTAATTGATAACTTAATACATAATTACCAAGGACTAAAGGTCCAGCCAGAATTAACAATTAATTTTCAGGGCAGCCACTCCTTGGGGATTGAGCTTTCCTCGCGTATTACTATATGTAGTCATTTTTTAAATAATAAATTAGTCATCTAAAAATTTTGATAAAATTTATGGAAATTAAAGAATTGAGATTCATCTCACTCTATCGCCTATAATGTATGAGAGCGGACTGTAAAAGGCTCCATTGCAAAAGGTCAACTGTCTAATATCTATTTCAAATTCAAGACAGTCTATTAATTTTTTAGTGTAAAATATAGAAAATCAATAATTGATATTTCAATCGGTTGAAACTCGATTAAAATTGGTATGCATGAAAGAATTTCAAAGCAAGAAGTGCAACTCATTTGATTTGCAGTTATTTATTTTTTTCTGTTGCAATTCGAACCTTTTTTTATCCATGTTTTCATCATATGTGGATGGAGCGTGACGCGAAAATATAAAATGCCTCGTAAAAACGTTGCTTGAGATACAAAAATTTTGCGTTGATGTCTATTATTGATTTTAACAATAGTTTGGGGTAAAAAAAATCGAATTTTCGTGGACAGTCCTGGAGTCATTTACGACGGCACGATTTGACATTTTTATAGGAGTAAAAACTAGTAAAAATTCCAATTCCGTTGAAAATTAAATGGTGTTCAAAATTTGGAGTGAGTAGAAAACCGTGGATGCATTATGCATCAGATCAGACGCTTATCAAGCAAGCATGATCTTCGATGGTGAACGCGATTTGATAAGGATTCTTCCGAAGTAATTACGGGATTCTTTGAAAGGTGCAAATGCATAAAGCAATAAAATAATAATAATTCTCAGATAAATCACATTCTGAGGTGAAGTTTCATGGTAATTATTTTAGTTCATTATTTTAGTTCATTAATATTTATCAAATCATTTATCATTGATTAATATTGATACTTCGATTGGCGTAATCTATTGTATTGTTCTCCAATTATTCGAGACTTGTCATTAAAGAAATTCTCATACCAGTGATTTTGTTAACAACTGTATGAGTGTGTGTATGAGTATGTGTGTTGAATTTTATGTGAGTTTTAAATTAAAGTTTTAATTGAGAAGACAAGTGATATGAGTGATCAAGTTCTCATATGATTCTTGGATGAACGATCAGACCTGATTCTATTTTGACTTGAACCTGACGAAAATTTCCGCTTGTGTAATTTGTGGATTTCATGAAAAATGGATTCTATGCGGTGGATCTCTCGCAGAATAATTTCGATTCAAACAGATTCACGCGAAATCCTCTCGATTCCAAAACTATCGATGAAAATGCCACTTTCCATTACAAAATAACATCAACATAAAGTCAGTTACGATATTTTATTGTACGTCATCGAAAACTCGAAAACAACGAATGCGAAGTCTAAATTATTCAAGACTTTTTGCATGTAGTGCAATAAAGGCAGAATACGCGACTAGATTTTAGAGTTATTGATTCATGAGTGATTCATGCGTTTCAAGCTGAAAATACCGAACATTCACTTAAAATTTTGATTTTTTATTATAAAAAATGATTCCGAAATTTTCTACCAACTTCTGGTTGATTTGAAAATATTCTTCGGAATATACTCAAGCTTAATTAATTAATAAACTAAAATTAACTTCTTGCAATGTTTTTTTAAACAAATCTTGGCTCTTACAATTACTGAATTAAAAAAAATTTTAGTGAAACTTCGTCGGTGTAAAATAAAACTATTATAAAAAAAAATGCGCAATATTTCTCTGTAAGTCGCATTTGTCTGTCGCAATGATCTTGATGATGTTCTAGTGTTTTGAAAATCAATAACTTTCGAATAACATAATTGAATCATTAATCTCAGCTCAACAAAACTGCTGCCCTAATAGTCAAAACATACATCTTACTTATGTTTGTGTAGAATGACCTGTTTACAACGCATAAATTTCAAATACAATTTCAACTCTCATGAATCGATGTCAGGGCCGAGTTTTCACTGTTAACAATCAAAAAGAAAATTCTATATTTTTCCAAGTCGCTTATTAATTATGCATCCGACCCACAGGGAATTCCTGGCAACACGCTGAGATCTATTACCATATATTCACTAGGGAATAAATTCCAGAAATTTCCCATCTCATTCAAGAAATTGAAAAGAATAGGAATGCGAAATTCATGGAATATTGCTCGCATAATTGGCAAGAACGCATTCTGAAAACAATTGGAATATTATTTTTATGTTTTCCGTATTGAGATCACATTATTAGAATTATTTTATTCTAAACAATTTATATTTTTATACTTCATCGTTTTAATTTCAAAATTCGATGGAAGAACAACTTGATAATTTTCTGAATGATCATTCACTCGATTGAATATTCTTTTGCCAATTATTTTAAGCTCACTAATTAGGTTTAATAAATTAAATTAAGTGAAGAACAATTACATCATTCTTTCAATTTTTCCATTAACTTTCTCTGATGTTTCGTTTTAAGAAAATCTGTTAACTGTTATTGTTAATCAATTAGTGTAATACATAGAAGTGATATTATATATGAATTTAATTTGATCGGCATCTAATTAGTTTAATTTTCAGAAATTATCATTCACTTTTGACTCTAAAATATTTTCCCTATTGTTTCCAAAATATAACATTTTTCGATAACTAATTACGCAATCATCCCCAGATCCGAACTAAATTGAAATAACAACGAAATGAATAATCCAAGTCGCAATTGCATATACATCGATAATTAAAGGACAATCCACATCTAAAGTGGTTTATATATGAGCTACATATTAATTAAATACGCATAAGCTACATATATATTCGTATAATTATATAAAAATATATAATATACAATATATACACTGAGAGAAATATTCAATAAAAATTACGTGTATTTTCCGTAATTCTGGAGCGAAATGTGGTTGTCGGAAATTTTACGGAACTGTCACGTAATTTGTAACTAAAGTCACGGAATTTTTCCGCGGTGTTCCGTAATTTTTATCTGAATTATCGGTGAAAAATAACGATACCGTCACTTAAATTTTTCGAATCAACTCCCTAATCGGTAAGAGAACTGAAAGTTCCGTAATTTTTACTAAATATTTCTCTCCGTGTAAGGCTTCAATTCGAAAGGAGAAGGTCAAAATATTTGCATTTCAATGACAATTTTTTAACCGACGCAAAGACACATGACAAACACTTGCGCTCTGTTTATTCCTGAAAGTTCCACCCACCGGAGTCTTTCTCGCGCCAATGGATCACAATGGGGGGACAGTTTATTATAGTCTCTCGCACAGTTGAGTTGAAGAAGAGATAGGATGATGAGTGCAAACTGAAAGAGCCCCCCCTTTCATTGTCTTTCAGATGCAGTAACGCCTGAGAAATTAACCCTCGAGCGACAAGAGAATCCTGTTGACAGTGGGAAAACGCCATGGATACTCTATACACCAGTGCAATTCATGGTTTTAACAGGCATGTCGCTGGAGCAAATGGCATTTCATCAGGTATCGCTGGTGCCCTTGATCAAGATGGTGTCCTCAGTCTCATTGTTGTTCTCGGTGGTAGCCTGTCGCTAGTTGCCCTTGTATTTGCATTCATTACGTACAGGTAAGATCAATCAATTGTTTACCGAGTTAAATTCGTTAATTACTACTGCCTCAGCCAATGCACACACATTCTATCGGCTGGACGTATTCCGCGTATTCAGTATTATTTTCTCATTCGTTGATCTGAATCGTCATCAATCCAACAAATCGTATTTCTCTCAACTGTTAGCCGATTATAGCCATAATTGACACTAGTCAATTGTTCCGTTGAGTGAACCGATAATTGTCAATCGAATGTTTAATTTTGAGAGTTTCAATTCAATTTTAATTGAAAATGGCCGATGAATTTCTCACTCGTATTATGAAAACTCCAGAAAATTGTTTTCATCATGAAATGGCATTAGTTTTTCATTTGCATTTTTTATTGCAACTTTTTATTGCAACTTGCTTAATCTAGATAGTTAATAGTAGATAGATATCTGATTTAAGGAGATTTTTATGCAAAGTATTCGGCAATTTTTGACAATTAATTTTTATAGAATGAGAAATTTTTCTAAAATGAGAAAGAAAAACTTTATTATTATTATTAAGATCGATATGTCCTCACAAGCCTCATCCACATTTGAATTGAATGATAAAAAATTCTGTCTTTTAATTATGAAATTAATTAACTTCTTTCTCACTTTGTCAAACATCAATTCCCCATTCCTCGTTATTATTCCATTCACTCTCTGAAGAATAAACTCGGTGTTAATAACCACCTGGGGATTAATTTATTATGAGACCCAATGCAGCGTATAACCGCGCAACAAATATTATCTCATTTAACCCGTTAACATTGAGCTAACAATATTATCAACCATTCCAGTTTAATCAGGCGTGCGCCATTACACACCGACAATAAAACTAAACTGTATGTAAGGAGTAAACGGAATGAATATATCAAATGGTCCCACATGAAACCGAGAACAATTAACAATACCACCACAATATCCGCAGTCAATTTGCATTGTTACATGTAAGCACGTGGCACTGCTCGTTATTATCTGTACAAAACCCGTATAACGGGTTTGAGCCACTCTCCATCCGACATTTTACTTGCATCTCTAGTTGTCGGACGTTCGATAATATATACATTATATATCTATATCGGTTTGTGGTATAACTTGGAGTTTTGGAGATAGTGGTGGTGTATCGATTACCACTTCGTGACGAAATGAATTATTGCTTTGGGACCAGCGATGATAGTTTCAATGAATAGTTGAAGGAGAGATAGACAAGTAGCTAAGGAAATATTTCAATGGATCTCTTCCTACAGAGAAAAATTATCAAGGAATTGTCTATAGTGCCGCATTAGGAATGGACCGTAAAGTGGCGGTTAGGAAAAAATTCAACTTATTACATTTTTTCTAAACGCCTATAGCAAAAGAAGATATAAGAGAAAAATTCGCATTACTAGAATTTTTTGTGGCCCTCATTTTTCCTCAAAAAATTCAACTTATTATATTTTTTCTAAACGCCTATAGCAAAAGAAGATATAAGAGAGAAATTCGCATTACTAGAATTTTTCGTGGCCCTCATTTCGTGCCATCAATTTCCCATACGGAAAATATTAAATAGTTAAGTTGCTCATACATTTCGAGATATTTAAGTTTAGTAATACTACTATGGATATAAGAATAAAGGATCTATTGATTACCGTAATGGTTACTATAGGCCGTGATTTCATTAATGGCAATACAAGATTTATCATGAGAGTATAGTAGAAATTACTATGCTATAGTGACATCTTAGAGCACGACCGTTTGGATATCAGATAATGAGATAATCAGAACCGATAAAAATACTAGTATAGTGACACCGTAAACTTTATTTACTATCATAGTATATGCTACTATACGTATAGTAAATAAACACATAGTAGCGTATGCAAGCTTAATTCACTCCCTATATTAACAAAATATTAAACACAGTAAACTATATCATAATAGTTTAATTATCATAACTACACATAATTATCACTACGTCAACCATCGCAGGCCATGATTCACAGTAATTTTCCTAAGTGACATAGTAAGGATTACTACTTCATGTCACTTGAAGCTTACTCTACTATGCAGCTTTGGCCTCAGTAGATCCAACTATTGAATTCTCTCCGCGCATTTTCGCGGGTCACTATACATAGTATTGAAGAAAATCAGAGCTGATAGGTGATCGATAGGCGCGATTAGTGTACAATAAAAAGGAGTGCAAATGTGTCTGCTGGTTATAGCCCGCCATTACCTTGAACCATTCATTGTCTGCACGTTGAGGGATTTAACAAGGTTTTGGCGCGGCACAGCATACTAAACTGTACTTGTACCTCAAAACTTTCTGCACAGCATACAAGGAGTTTAACAGTACGTACAGTCTGCCAGAAATGAAATCGTTCAATTGTGAGAAACTATGGTGGGAAGAAATGAGTTTTACCACTCAAGACCTCTTTCGAATCGTGTTAATTATCTACGAGAGTATCCGCAAAGGTCCCGAGGGGACTTTTCAATGTGAAAGCATTTGTTGTGAAGCTCCAATGTACCTTACAAAACTCTCAACTTCCCATGCCCCCGTAATTTTTCTATTGTTTTCTTTCTCTCTCCACCACTTCTCGGCTTAAAGTTTAATGGAATTATATCGGAGAGGGCGAGAGATGTATACAGATGGTAATGGAAAATTTCAGGCAACTTCCTTCGGTTGTGAAGTGTTATATTTTTTATGCCATAGGTGCCCAGGTTCATGCGAAATACTATACGATTCTCGTGCGTTATGGTGTTTTGTCGCTCGGGGAATTGTAAAACTTGGCCTCGGCTTATTTTACAATTTCCCACGAGACAAAAAAAAATTATACACTTGTTGCGTAGTATAGGCACTATTATATTGTCATGAAGATTTCTTATCTTGTGCTTTAATAGTAAGTGAAAAATACTGTCAACTTAAGGAATTAATTTAAGACTAGAAAAACGTCGATCAAGTATTTTTATATTTATTCAAGTCCGAAATGACTTGCACGAATAGTAATCGGTCTTGATGAAACTATGCACTCACTCCCATATAGTTTGGGCATTTTTTTCGTTACGTAATTGAAGTTTATAATCGATTGCGAATAGAATTTTCGAATAACAAATGAAAGTGCCATGAATTAGCAATCGCGCTCAATTGCTTTAATTTCTCTCAGTGAAGTCCGACCTGAAGACATGCAAGAAAGTTTCAATTGACTATAATCCAGCTTGAATCAATTTTAATCGACTTGAATGAAATCACGATTGAATCAACTTGAATGAATTTAAATCGATTTGAGTCAAGTTTTTATTTAATAAATTTAAATCAACTCGAATCAAAAGTCGCCGTTGAATGAATTTGATTCAACAGGCAGAATTTTAACTTGTTTCAAGTCGATGTATGCCTAAATCGCTTTCTTCCAATATAAAAGATTCGTCAATTTATATCAAGCCCGAAAAATCGATTGTTGCAGATTCTATCGGAACATACGATACGATATGCTCTACGATGTAACTATAGCATAGTTATTTCTACTATAGTAACATGATAAACCTTCCATTGCCATTCATGGAATCACTATGCTCTATAGTAACTATTAAGATATTCCATAGTCTATTCGTATGCCCATAGTAATAAAGTATAGCTTACTAAACTTAAATAACTCGTACTATGTGAATTATTTAACTGTTTAATATTTTTCGTATGGGAAAATGGCGGTGCAAAATGGCGGCCACGAAAAAATCCTAGTACAGCGAATTTCTCACGTACGTATCCCATATTTTTTCCATTCAAAAAAAATATAATAGTTTGAATTTTATCCCGACTGCCTATTTATGATCCATTCCTAGTGCTGCGGTTAAAAATTCATCCATCATTTTTCTCAGCAGGAAGTGACATGATGTGAATGTAAAATTTAATATAAACTTAAACCACTATGACGGATAGTTCCCAATATAACGGATTTTTCGATTCATATCAAGCTCTAATCAAGTAAAAAATCGTCTAGAATCAATCGATAATGTTTTTGGTGTACACTGAGAGAAATATTCAATAAAAATTACGTGTATTTTCCGTAATTCTGGAACGAAATGTGGTTGTCGGAAATTTTACGGAACTGTCACGTAATTTTTATCTAAAGTCACGGAATTTTTCCGCGGTGTTCCGTAATTTTTATCTGAATTGTCGGTGAAAAATAACAATACCGTCACTTAAATTTGTCGAATCAACTCCGTAATCGGTAAGTGAACTGAAAGTTCCGTAATTTTTACTAAATATTTCTCTCCGTGTAGCGACATGCATATCGCAACTATAATCCATCAGTTCAACAACGCATGACGATAAAATTCGAGATTACCTCATTTCATTCATGGTCAATATGAAAAAACGATTACCTAAGTACGAGAGGGAATTCGTGATCAAACGATCAAAGTACTTTCTCTTTATCTATCCCCGGGCAATACATGCAGAATTATTCCCTTGTTTACTTTTACGAGTCAGACGATAGACTTGTTTTTCATTTCCGGTAAATACTTGAGCATCTGACAAGAGGTAATAGTACAGAGAAATGAATATTCCTCATTGAAGTTGAAAAACAAATGCGTGGGATATAATCATCTGCTGTATGAGAAATAAAATTTCCATCCGGAAATAATCTGAAGTTCACAATAATTTCTTAATCAAATACTGAAAATTCAATGGAATTCACTTTATCGATTGAAACTTGAACGTTAAATAGAAATTCCGATACATGAGAGAATTGTTTGCATTCAGAAGGAAATGCGAATTTCCTGAAGATATTTACTAAAATATTCATGAGTTTTTAACCAACGGAACCGACGATATTCCGCGCTCCCTTGAACTGTGCATTTAATTCTGCTAAATTGGCTGATCGATACGTTCGACTGATGTCATAAAATATCGCAATATTTCGTGTTTTTGTTACATGAAAAATGCCTCTTTTCAAACCTGCTTTAATTTGCATACAACTGCAAATGAAAAACATGAACAAGAGAATTTCAATGCAAC